AAATGAGTGGGTTTAAAGCTATATGTTTTCAATAGGTGAAGTTGTTTATATTATTTTCTGATTTTAGAAGTCCTTTAAGTTAATCATAACACAACCATTCTTTCAGTGTTAAGAGACTTTTAACTTTTAGGAACTTTGGAATATTTGAAGATGAAACTTTTTATTGTCTTAGAATGAGCATGGGGAGGACAATTTATGATGTGCTTTTATTTTGAGAAAAGTAAATTTATGACTATTAATGATTTCATGAGATTGTAATTTGGACACAAATTGAGAAATTTAACTTGATGATCTTATCATTTGGATTTTGATATTTGATATTACCAAGTGGAGAAGAGTCAGGCTTAGAGAGTATTTCAGTGTACTATATACAATATTAATGAATTTAGTCATGCTTTCTTGTCAAATTGCACCTCACCTCTGCACACCTTGATATTTTTTAAAAGTTTTAAGTAACTTTGGGATTATATATTATAGTTTTGAAGTATAATTTAAAATGTTTATAAATCATGTATGATCATCATGTCATTGTTATGTTGTATAGAAATATGATTCTGTAGTCAAAATCACTGAATAATATGAAATGGAGTGATATTTTTACAGCGCCGAGGAACTTTCTTCTATAGCAAGTTGGCTCATTTTTGAGTAATAATTGATATGTACAGTGTTGAATGTCCTATTTTATTATTCATAAATCATCGTAGATATGGTGAATGGTGAAAAGGAGCAGGGGGGAGGAAGAAGAGGCGAGGGAGAGAAAGAGAGAGATTGAGAGAGAAAGTAAATCCCATAAAGGTTTACTTTTTTCTCCATTTTCTTGTTTGTTTTTTGGTACTGGGGATCGAACTCGAGACCTTGCGCTTGCAAGGCAGGAGCTAGAACCACTGAGCTAAATCCCTGGCCCCCCGTAAGGTTTTTTTGGGGGGGGGTGGTACCAGGGCTCGAACTCAGGACCTTGAGCTTACAAGGCAGGTGCCTGCACCACTGAGCTAAATCCCCGGCCCCCTCCATTTTCTTCTAATTCTTTGCTGTATTCCTATATAAAAACACTTTTTAGTATTTTTGTCACTATTATTTTCACATAGTTCCATTTTTTCTTTGATATTATTTTTGGATTATTCAAAATTCACCTTTAATTTTTGCTCATTGTCAGTGTTTGAAAATAGGATTGTAACAGGTTTAGATTCAGTGCTCATCTGCATGATCAGCTATATCATGTCTTGACTTAGACTTCATTTCCATCTAATGTGTTGATTATCTAGGTTTTATCACTTTTCATGTAGAGGCCAATCA